CTAACAAAATGTTCTCTCTAAATAAAGTAGCACCTTGCAAAGTCCAACCAGAAAATATTAAAGTAACCCATGCTTATGTTACTCTATATCAGAGACATTATCGCACAAAAGTAAATGCGACAATGTGTCGAATCAAACACCAATCAATGCGTTGGTTCTGCGATTCTTTTGATTCGAGTGGTCTCGACGCTCGACAAAAAATGATCACTACTGATCTCCATTTATCTGCCGATCAATGTAAATCGGCCGCCGACAGAGGCTATCTTAACCTAGGCTATACTAGTATTGGAAATATTCCTTTCAAATTTAATGTTAAAACAGTAACTAATGCCCATGCTGGCAAAGTTGACGGCAAACATCATAACGAATGTGATGGCCGTTCTTGGATTAAATTGGACACTTTTGAAACTTACATGCAAAATGTAACTCTGACTGTTAACCTCAAAGATGGAACAGTCAATAATTGGCAAAACATTCCTTTGCCCTGTCCAGTGTCTACAATTGGATGTGAAACAACATCCTTAGACGCTTTTGCTTATACTTGGGAAGAACCCAACAATTGCATTTTCACTGTTTTAAACAGATTTCCGGCAAAAATGATTCAAAACGAAGAATCATACTATATAATTAAAGGCGATTCTAGCCCGTCTATTCATTCTACCCATACAAGGGATTCTCAAAAATTTATGCTACAGGTGATGAATAAACCGCAATCTCTTTGTGGTCATCCCAGAATAGTGTATCCAACTTCATATGATTCACTTTTTATTGCATACACTGACGGTTTCAATATGGATACTGGAATCCAAGTTAAACCAACCCCAGAAACGGGAACTATTCATAATGCCGGCCAACCAAATTCTACTTTTCTCACATTAAGTGATGATTCGCCGCCACTCCAATTTTCAGCTCATCAAATTGACTACGAAGCTCATATAGGAACCAAATTGGACTATATTCTTTTTTTATAGCTTCTACATGCTCAGAACGGCCGAGTTAGCCCTTCTGCAGGATCAATGTGAGCTAGAACGCTCCTCAATATTAAATACTTTAATGCTTTCACTTGAAAGCCCACGTTTGGCTGGCTATATTCTAATCAAAAACCGCTCTATGTTCTTAGAGACCAATGGCAATGTTGCCTGGCTCTACCATTGTCCGAAATTTTATTCACCTTTGCAATTAATGGATGAATGCTATAATCGCATTCCCATTATGTATAAGGAAAACATTCGATTTGTCGATCCAATTACGCGACAAACTTTTCAGTCGGCAGATCTACAAGACTGCTCCGACAAACATTCAAATCTCTTTTAACTAGATGTTGATGATGATAAGTCCTGGATTGAATTAACCCCTCAAATTACAAGGGTTACAGGACCATATCTCTTTAAACCAAAAGAGATAATTCAAAAGATTAAGCATTCTCTAGCCTCTAGCCAAGGCGCTTCAATCTACACTTATGCTCAAATGCAAAAATTCTGGAATATGATTTCCGATAATTCAGAGATGAAAGGAATACTGCAAAAAGTATCCAGGTCCTTTCTAAATGCTAAAAAAATTCTTTTCACGGACTCATATAGCCCACTAGGCTCTTCCTAAACAATCTATTTGGACTATCTCATCTCTCCAAACTTTTGGAAAAACGAATACACCCGTATATTCGGGAAAGTACAATACTATTTAGAAAAATGCGGAATAGTCTTCGCCTTTTTTCTGTTTGTGAAATTCATACTAGATTGCCTAGTATTCATAATAAAGGCTATGCATATTCACAAAATCACCGGCCGCTCACTACACTTTGGCAAAGTATTGCTTGCCGCTTCATATAATATACTTTTCACTTCCATAGTGACCTCAATTTTCACTCAAGATGAGCAAACTGAAAAAATAGAACAAGAATGTGATCAAAAAATACAAGCTCCTCTTTTAGAGGAAATTGATAAAATGAACCAGGATCGCATGTATCCTCACATCCAATTAACAAGTTTTGAGAGAAGAACTCAAAACTTGGATCACCCGACAAACCCAGTCTAATAAAAAAATTCTACTGTTCTAGGATATACCAACTGATTCAACTATGGACGCAACACTTGATGACGACTTGAGAGATTTTGAGGATCTTCTCTCACTCCTGCCACCAACCGATCCACTGGACTCGCAGATTTCAGCACTCACTCAACAACGAACTGTTTCTACTACTACAACACCCACTGCAATACCGACCTCAACACGATCCTTCGTTGAGCCACTACTTCAAACCAATTCAGCTGTCCCAATAACTACAGCATCAAAGCCACCACCCCTAAAAATTTCACCCCCTGATTTCAAAATATCCCTGGTTCCCTCGAATTCCAAAATTAAAAAGCGAACCCAGATTGTCAGACCATATAAGATACTAACGGCAAATACGCCGGTATCAACTTCTCAATATCCAATGACCATTAGGCGACAGCCCTTGCACCCCACTGAATTAAACACTAAATTACATATTCAGTTAGAAAGGGAACGATACATTAATTCTAACAGTAATCCCGGCTTCGATATGGATCTCAATTATGCTTTGAATCCATTGATCAATCGTTTTAAATTAGAAGCCTATCACCCTATAAAAAAATGTACTCCATAACTAATTCCCTTCTTGAATATCAAAAAATCTATGTCCCAGCAAAATATCTGACAGCAAAATTACAAACCCCCCAGTTAGATGACTATACTGAGCAAATTCAGCGCAGTCATATACATGAAACGCACCAAATCCGGGAGCTGAAAAAGCAAATCCACAATTTGAAAACAAAAAATCACCAACTTATAGCCCGGCTGGAAGGAAAATTGTAAAAATTTATCCTTTCATTTAAACATTTATTCTTTCGCTTTATATAGCTATGTAGTATAGCTATTAATTTTGCCTTTCTCAACAAGTTTGACTTTTATAAAAAACAAAAAAAAACAAAAAATACACCCTTTTGTATGAACCAGTCCTCTCCTTATTACGCGTATGGACATCTACTTCACATACTTCAGAAAAAAAGGAGACTTCGGAAAAAGAATGTTCAAGGAATAAAACTACCCTTCAAACTTTTGAGAAACAAATAATTTTGATGTATTTAATTTTATAGTTAAATCCCTTGGTTGTGTAAACTCTATTTTGATTTATAAATGTAACTGATGTATTTATATTCATTCAAGCCTGACTCAAAGTATCAGTTGTTCAAAAACATCTGCTACCTGTAATACCAACAAACTATTGAACCAACTTTATGAGATTGAAAGAAAAAGCTTCGATCGATCAACAATTACCCCACTATTCAAGTAAAAGTAATAAAAATAAAAGTTTCAGTTTTTTTCCTCTCCAAATAGGAGGATGGATATGTTCTGATTTCAAATAGAAACAGAAACATGAATTATTTTATTGCGTTCACAAAATGTGACGCCGCCGCCACCACAAAAGAAATATGTTTTTATTCCCTTGCAAAAGGAAGGGAAATGCTATTGGAATAATTCGTATAACGTTTTAAGCATTGAGAATTGAAACGACTATTCTCATTCAATGCGAATATTAACGATTCCGAATGTACGAATAGAGAATACGAAGTTAAGAAGTAACTTCTCATTTGATACGAAAAGTGGTACGATTTCCCATCTGAGTATAAATAGAAGCTCAAAACTACGGGAATTCATTCCCAACAATATCTCTTCTAACACCACAACCTCCCTTTCTAATATCCCAACAATATCTCTTCTAAGACCAACACCACTCTCTTCTACCACCCCAACCAATCTCTAAAATAATATCTTCTCTCAGTAAAAATATCTCTAATCTCACCGTTAAAATAGATATTGAGTCAAAAGGCAACTTGCTGTAAATTCATACTAACTTCTTTTCTAATAAAATATTTCTCAGCGAATTTTAGATTTACTTTCTAAGATAGAAAGTAGAAAGGACCCTTTATTCCTAGCAAGCGTTTTGTCCGACGTATATAGTTTTTTGCTAGCGTAATAAACTACAACAAGACTTCTCGTATCAGGGCGAACGTTTTAAGGTCTATGGAGCAGTAATGACATGAAAAAAGCTTCCTTCAACGTATTTGGATTGATTTCTAAGACGGATTAAATCTCCGCTTACGCGTTCATAACAAGCTTCCTTTAACCAACGTATTTGGAATGATTTCTAAGACGGATTAAATCTCCAATTACGCGTTAATAGCGCAAAATATATCGCGCGTCAATGGGCCCTCATAACTTCACGAAAAATTATTTCAGGTGAAATATCAAATTTAAGATCAGCACAACAATACCTTTTGAATGATATAAAAAATTTTGGTCAAAAATGGCTAGTTAAAAAGTCGAAACTTGCCTGAAGAAAAAAAACCACCTCGAGCACAAATATTCCGTTATTTTCATTACGAAAGTCAGAACAAAATAAAACTAAACGGTACGAACCTTCGAGCTCTATATTTACATTGAAATTTAGCTGTGCTTTAATTACCAGCAGTATGTAAAGCGCTTCTATAGAAGACGTAGCGCAAGCTATACAAAATCGCCAAAAAGAAGCTTAAGAGAATGCAAACTTAACACAAAAAATTCTCACAGAAGTGCGCACTTTACATAGGAAGAAAAAGTAGAATCGTAATATTACACAAACATTACTAGTTTAATATATAATAGTTAGACGCGCAAGGGATTGACATGGCATAAAACATGAAACAGTTTATTGCCAATACTTTTTATCAAGGGCTGTGGCAAAATCATCACAATCCAATAGCCTCATCGAGACATGCACTTCTTTACGTTAACACTTACCAGTGGTCGCCAGTTAACTACACTCAAGTATCTGGATCCGGTCAGTGTGATATCTATTACTTAATTCACACTCACTGAGGTGAAGAAAGTTAGAAACTCCCAGAAACAATCTGCTAAAATAAAATCAAATGAACGAATCGGCTGTTTTAATATGTTTATTAGGATTGTCTAAGACATCTCGATCTCAGCCTTAGTCAGAATTGAGTTGTAAAATTAAATTTCAAGAACTTACAAAAATAGCTTTAAATTCTTAAATTAAATGCAGATGGGAAAGTCTAAAGGCAGTCGTTAGCTGACGCGAAAACATCATCATACTGACTGTAATAGCTCTTCATGGCTTCATTTTCATCCGACATTTGGATGTTCAGAATATTCGAATTCTTCAAATTGTTCATTTCATTTCGGAAAGACATGACACTGGAGGAATCTTCTAGAATATTATTCAGACTGTCTGTTCTGTATTTAGGATAGGTCACGGTGCTGTTTTGGCTTTCAAGGGTGAGACAGGATCCAATTGACACGACAGAACAGTCGATCGATGCCATGTCGTAGCTCGGTGACTGAGCTGAAGTCGGGTTTCTCGTGTTCGTCGGTTTTGGCGAGTCGGTAACCAAAACTTCTTGTGTCTTTGAAATGTTTTCACTGCGGATATCCTGGAACTCAAGGCGAGAGTTTTCGAAGCTTTGCATTATATATTCCTTTTCCAATGTACTGGCTTTGCTGTTTTCTAAACACAGGAGAATCTTATCACGTGTATAAATAAAATTTCGTTAAAACCAGGGGCTTCACATTTTTTGAAACATTTGATTTTAGCTTGTAAGTTTTCCATTGCTCCACCTTCAATTTAAATTGCAAAGATTTAAGCATGCTACTTTTTCACTCCAAGTTGATCTAACTGCCTGATATTTTCCCTTCATCGATCATTTCTCTAGGATTGTAACTTCAAAATTTAAAATATTTAGCAAGCTTCGGATTCAATGTGAACAACCAAATACGCAAACTAACAAGGATGTCCCAGAAATAGCACAGATGTTCGCTAATGTTCACAAACATTAGCGAAAATACGACAAAAAGCAGCTTCATAACGTGGAATAAGAAAAAAAAACAGAAACAAGCCTCGAAATAGTAATACTGTGCTTCGTATTGTCTTAGAATCTGCGACCTCAAGAAATTCACATAGATGAACAGGTGAACTTTGATGACATCAACACGTTGATTCTCTCGGTAAAAAAAATCGGATATTATGCAGAATTTTTTATCGGCTGTATCAACTTAACTCGACAGAGCACCTTGCATTAGTTAACAAATTTTTAGTGCAATCTAAATTGCAATATGGTGTTTTGGCTTACACATCAAGAAAAAGATTTTCTGCAATAAGATGTTTTGGCAATATGACAACAAATTTCTTTCTCAGCCAGTATCACCTATATTGCAATATGTTGTTTCGGCTTGTACATCCACAAAAAAGTTTTCTGGATCAAAAAGGAAGCGAACGTTCAGAATTATCTAAGGAGTATGAAAATACCGATCAATCCAAATTCAAAGATTGAAAAACCAGCAGTTTTCTTGCTAAAGAGCTCTATTTGTATGAACAAATCAAAACAGTGTCTAAAACTCCTAGATGTATCCAAATTTTAAACGAGCTTATTACTGATAATCACTAATTATATATAACCACAAAACAACTAATTATAAGAGTTTAGCAGTACAGCAAGAAAATTATAAATAGCAATACACAAACACTCAATTTAGACAACTTATGTTAGGCTAACGAAAATATTGAATAGTATTCTATATTGTAATCCTCAATTTCTCGAGAACAAAATTTTTTTTCAACTCTCAGCAAGCTAAAACATTCAACCATACTTTTTAGACGGTTACATTTTGGACAACGAAGAGCTCTTAGGTAATATTTTTAGTAGTTAAGTTCAATCCAAGTTTTTTCTTTTTTTTACTTAATTCTGTCAAAGGTTCTTTTTCTTGATTTTAGGCAGAATCCCTTAAAAAATGAATTACAAATAAGGAAATAACTTCAAATTCTAACTTTGAGAAATTTCTTTCTCACCCAGTATCAAAAACATAAAACAGATTTCCACTCTGAGACACCTGTGAGCGAACCTTTACATCCAATGGTGCTCTTCAAGGCAGTTAAAATGTTGACGTGTCTTGTAAGTGGTTCAACTGCCCTAAAATAATTTATTATAGTTATCCAAACGCGTCGAAATTGAGTGAGTTAGACATAATTGACAATAGTAAAAAAACGAACAAAAAATGAAAAAAAAGCATTTAAAAAAAGCCCCAAAATTGTTTCTTAAGTTTTGCACAACATTTTTTAAATTGTTTGGAAAACTTTTAGTGCCAAGGAAGAGCAAAAAAGCTTCCAAAAACTAAATAAAAAAATTAAAATTTCCTAACCTAGATTATAAATTTTCTCATTTACAACGCACGTTGCTTATTCTTAGAGTTATTTCATAAAAAACGCTTGAATTTAGACTATAACTTAACAATTTCAAACCAGTTTTTTTTTCTCAGCACAGGTATTTTTTGAATGTCGCTCAAATCATATGTCGTTCAAATCAATTAATGTCGCTCAAATCACTGAATGTCGTTCAAATCATCACTCAAAATGAATAAAATGTGCTGCTTGATGTAAGTGGCAAAAAATGAGAAAAAAAAGAACACACCCGAGACAAAGTCGGAACAACAAAAAAGTTCAATGGTCGGAACAACAAAAAAATTAAACTTCAAGCTTTATTAAACTTCAAGTCGTCCGCGTAACAAAGATATTTTCAATATCATAAGTGAGTCTGCCTTCTCTAGACCTGCATTTCTAAGCATTATTCTTCTCGAAAAAGAAGGAAGATCCATTTACGAAAGCTTGAAACTGAAATGAAACTTGGTTAAAAACAGAAAAAACTGAAGAGCAAGCATACTATAAATTAAAACTAATTTGAATCAACAGAAGATGTCCCGAAACAAATCAAATTCTATTAACCGTTTTTTGAACTCATGCATTCACCCAGTTTGTAAGAAATAATTTTTTATCAGGTAGTAAAAGAAATTTTTGCTTCATTGAAAATTAGAAGTTAGTATAATTCAATCCGATTAAGGCAAATTACGATATTTTTTTAAAGAAGCCATAAAGTTACACAATTTGAATACATTAGTTATCCTGTACTAGGCATTTAACGCCTCAGGAGCCATTTAAGTTTTAAATAGCCACTAGGCCATTTAAATGAGCTTGTACTAGATTGCGGTCAGAAAGTAGACATGCCATAAGAAGGTAGACACGTCGTACACCACTCAGAATCGAGATAAAAAAAGAGAACGAAATATATATTTTTTTCTCGATTCTGATTGGATCACGGCTTGTCTTCTTAATGATCTGTCCACTTTTTGCTACGTAACCCGTTGAAATATATCTAGAAAAACTATTCCAAATTTACTCGCAAGATGCAATCGTTAAACAAACTCACCGGATGCAGCAGGAGTATCTGTGAAGAAAACCTTTTGGTCGGACGCCTCGGACTCTTTCCGCAAACTGAAAAACGAGACGAGTCAGATATTAAACACATGTGAGATTTGAAAATGATTACGCTTGGTTTGTTGGACTACTGTACACAGGCAGCCGCCCTTCTCCGCTTTCTACAGGGATTCTACTCTAGGACGGACCGAATGGTCTATTTGGTACCATTTTACGACATCCACTTCTGATCAATCAACTGTAAAATTTCTAGATTATCAAAAACTTCCAAAAATGGTCAAAACCTTTAACAAAATGCCTTAAATTGCCAGTTTTGGCCTGTTACTTGAATTTAGTTTACCACCAAAACTGTTTAAAATGTTTAAGAAATAAACACAATTTAATCTCTGGAAGGGCTGTTGAAAGAGAAATTAAGCTCATCACCAACCACCCTAAAAATAATAGGACAAGTAGAAAGATGGACTCCAATACAGAAAAAAATCAAACAAAATTTTTATCTATGATAAACTATCGCAAAAAAAGTGTGAAATGTCTCAACTTCGCTTGTTTTCAACCTTTCGATATCTTTGGGAATTACATGAGACTATCAATACGTATATGCATGATAAGTCAAATATACTTTCATGACTGTGCATGATTTTTCAGGTTAAACCAAACTGTTTACAAGAAAAAAAAAGTGCGCGTTTTTTACTATTTTTTTTTTCGAAAAATTTGAGACCGTAATTAGAAAACTTATCCTTCGAAACTTAGTGCGTCCGTTTAAGTCCCCATTTTTTTTTTAAAAATGTATCTTTTTTTGCGATTTTAAACTGCTCAAGGTAAAATCGATTTAAAAAACACTCCTAAAAATGTGTTCCACAATGATTGGCAATGAGTATTTCATTAATTGGTTACTTATGCCATCATGCCTAGTACAGCCCTAAGATTTCAAAAGAAAAATAGCTTTGCCAGCTTCTGAGGATTGACAAGGACTGCGTAAACGACTTTTTTCGATGCGGAAAACATTCATTTTTCTTTTTTCTTTGCAAGAAAACAAACAAACAAGTAGCAAAAAAGCAAATTTATAAGATAATGACATCATAGACATTTAGCTTCAACTTTATCACTGCAAAACTACCCAGAGGCATTAACAAACTTACGCGAATTAGGGTTTGATCCAAGTTTGTCATCGTTAAATTTTCGTTTGCTATTTTGAATTACATTGGTAACTTCGTTTTCCTGCGCTTTAAGTAATTCCTGATTCGTTTCTATTTGTTTTAACATCCACTTTTTGCGCAGGTTGATTCCTATCGCCATTTACTTTTCATTCGTCGATTCACCTGATGTTTATGTCGAGCATTAAATTTACTTACACGGGAAGCCGACAGCGGCAAGAATATCTGGAGAGCAGGAGAAGAGCCAGAACACCTATCAGTGCCCCTAGAATCAAGCCAACCAGAGCCAGCCCTAACCAAGGACTCGCGAATGAGGACATCATCTTCAATTAAGACCAAATATGACAAAACTGGTGCAGAAAATAGCAGAAAGGCAAAGGAGCTGTATTTTGACCTATATTTGAAAACAGTTGTAAGCTAGTCAAAGTATTGTTCGCTTAGTTAGTATGTAAGCTTAGTTAGAGCCAAGTAAAGTCGAAATAACAAAACCTCAAAATTGGAATTTGTACTGAACGCGGACGTTGGTCCTGGCAGTGTATGAACAAACAATGAGATTATGTTCTTTTAAACTTTCTGGTCTTTTGTAGTTTAACAAATGAATTCGGCGCAACGGTGAAACGTCATTTTTACACAAACATCATTCATTGCTCAGTAGAGGGTATCAATGAAACTTCTGAACCATGATCATAAAAACGATGTGGTTTACATAACACTATCTCAAAGTTTTAATTTACTCAATGTGGCGTAAAGTTGGCGAAAACCGATTAGCCAATATGTAGGCCAAAGTTCATACCAATTACAATTGCGATCCTTAACCAAAGAAGTCATTAAAATTACTCAATGAGCGAACTGCTTTTAAAGTTCAAACTTCAGCTGCGTAATGAATTTTAGCAACTTAGGGCTTTGAAGTATTCAGAGGCAATGCTCTGTCAAAAAGATCAGAAACGCCAAAATGAAGGACTTCCTCAAAGCATGTGAGTGCATTGGGTTCATCGCTGGATATCAGCTACTCTCTAACTATTGTTAACAATTCTTCTCAATTCGACGAAACAGAAATAAAAGGAAATCGAAAACTTCAAAAACATGAGACCAGTTCGTTTAAATGGTCAGTCTTTTTTTCCATGCGATTTTATGTATATCAAAGAAAGAACGTAGAAAAACGAACCTCGAATTATAATAAAGTCTTTTCAATCGTTCGGATTCCAAATTCATTTTTCGGCAAACGAGTTCATTTTTCGGAAAATTTGCAGTATCGGACTAAATTACAGCCGAGCAATGGACGAAAAAAAGGAGTGAACATTCAAATTAATTCTTTAAATTTATATTTGAGTAGTACCCCACTATATCATGGCCGAGCGGATGCTTTATTGGTGTTTGACAAGGAGACGAAGCGCAGCTTCGCACCACTTGTGACACAATGTAAACAGAAAATGGCAGAGCTAGACGAAAGCCACCAGTTGATAAAAAACGAAAAATGAAATAAGCCATTCAAACGTCTCGAAAAACTCAATTCGATGAAAAACTGTTGCGAAACATGATTGTCAGCATTAAATAAGTATTAAGACCAAAAATACATTGAACCGTAACTATGCAAACAAACGGGTAGACACTCAGTAAGCCGAAGAAAATTGTCAAAACTTTTAAATGATTTACTGATTTTCGAAATTCCAAGTTATATATCCTCTCCTTTTGTTCACTTTCTGCTGCCCCATGAGCTCAGTCGGTGTTATAGAGGATATAGGTACATTACACAGAAAAAAATCTCAGCAAACAATAAGCGAGCAAGCTGGAGAAATTTAATTGTATTATATATTAAAATGTGGGTTGCACTACCTCGCCACGTTTAAGCTTTTTCAACGTATTGCTAGTTTTGCATAAGGGAAAATTTTTTCAGCTAGGTCGTACATTGCAATGATTACGATTTTTTTTTATTTTCCAGCACGAATTCAATGTTTATTTCATCGAGTTGAAAATCAGCTCTATAGTAGGATGGTGTTAGGATTTCCCCAGGGGTTGCAAATTTGACCTCCAATTATGAATGTCTCAATTTCAGATAATTTAGATTTTAAAAGTTCCAAAGATTTGAAATTCTCAACCTTGTCGTTGGGTACTATGAAGGTACTCTCAAGAGTTCTAAGTTGCAAGTCGTGCGTCCAATTTCGGCTGCTCAAATGATTTTGTTTTCCGAGATGTGACGGTCGTTATGTATTTTTTTAAAAAAAATTTGTTGAAAGAACTTAGATTAAAACAGTTTCACAGAACTTGAAGTTCGCATCTCTAAATTGAGATTCTGGCAGGGTACTCTCATACTCTCAGGAGTTGCGAATTTTGCCTCCGAATATGACAGCTTAAATCGTTGTATTTTTCGAAATATGACGTTTTTGTGAACTGAAAATTTAATTTTTTTCTTCAAAATGTTGACATTCGTCACTTATTGTTGGGGGCTGACAGAGTACTCTCAAGGGTTGCGAATCATTCCTCCAAATATGAGTGCTCAACTTATTGTAGTTTTCGAGATATGATGTTTTTTAGAAAACTTAAATTTGAAGTTTCTCAAAGTTTGAAATTCTCAACGCTGCAGTTGGGTACTGACAGAGTACTCTCAGGAGTTGCAATTCTTGCGTCCAAATGCGACTGCTCCATTGCTTTTATTTTCGGAGATATGAGTCTGCTTAATTCATTTTAAAACTTTTCAAAGAATTTTTATATACAAAACTTCACAAAAATTTATGGTTTTCGAAAATTTGAAGAAAAAAAAAACTGAACCAAAAAAACTTTACAAAAATTGAAATTATCAACCCAATAACTGGGTGCTGTCAGAGTACACTCGAAGGATGCAGATCTGAATGAAGTTTTTTATGAGTTAATAAAAATTCGAAGCACCGGAGGTGCGTTACACGCTAGCTTAATTTAACTGAATTATTTTGCCTACACCTATGTTTTTAAAATAAAGTTTCTTGGCCTTAGCAGAAGACAAGAGCTCTCCATTGGTTCCCCATTTCACTTTAAGTTATCATATTTGTTTCCACAATCTAATGTGCAAGTAACGTAAAATTACAAGGTTAGGTAATTAAAGAATTTGTAGTTTAACAAAAGGTTACTTTATGATACACCTCAGCGATATTGAACAGACAAGAAGCTACAGTTCGCAAACTCAAGCAAAAAAAAACTGAAAAATCAAAAACAAAGTGAAACAAGGAAGCCGAATGCTGCGCAGATAGAACAGAACTTTCCAATCACATTCATTAAAAATTATGTAAGGTTTTTCTATCATTTTTTTTTCAAATTAGTGTAGTTTTTTGAGCGTGGTGTGATGAAAGAGAATTATAAACACGAAAAAAAACTTTGAACTAACATAATCGATAACAATTGTATTCATAAAACGAATTAAACTTAAATTTTAGCACATTATTTTTTTGGACTAGAAAGCGCTAAAGGAGGCTCTTAGAACTAGTTTTTTTTTTTTACTTAAGTCAATATTTCTTATCCCAGATAACCAATTTCCAACCTCAATCGCTTAACCTGTTTTTCTCTTCAATTTGACAAATTTTCGCATTGTCCTTCGATGTCACTTTTCGATGCTTATTTGTGGTTCCTGATTTTGATGGGGAAAAACAAGAAGAAACGGGAAAAAGAATACCAAGTTCTCTCCTCGTTTTCAATGGTTGGAATAAAAATGCCATTATTTTGCTATATGCCGGAACCGAACCTCCTTTGCGCCTCACGTTCTTGCATCTGCGCTACGATCGCTTGCAAAACTACGACGACTCGGCGCCAATAATTCAGCTACAGTTGTTATAAATTTCAATGTGCCGGAATTCACCCTCTGACCAGTCGATTACGAGTCTCACTTCCTCGCATCTGCGCAACGGTCGCTTGGAAAGAAACTAACGCTAGCTACCAATAAAGCAACTACATAAGCTTTAAATTGCCAATGACTGGAATCACCATAGTACCACCATATGGGCACATTTTTCCGATTTTGCATGGGAAAAAATTACTTCGTAGTATTACACTACGCTTTGTATGTGTAAAAACATTAGTACTCAAACTCCGAGAAGCATTTAAACACGCTAAGGGTCTCATTTGCCGTCCTCTAGGGGTTAAATTTAAATTGAATACCGTTCAAATACACGTTAAAATTTGTTTTCATCTCTTTAGAAGAAATTCATACTTTCTTTAGTAACGAAGGCTTGATTTCTCTACTGCTGTTCACTTTGAAGTGTGTCTGAAGGATTGTTGCAAAAGAATTCGAAGAAAGGTCAATTCACAACAATAACATAAAACAGCACATAAAACTAGGCAAAAAATTCTCCCACTAGATGAGCCTCATTTATATCTATCACTTCGATTCCACAATGTTCTTTTAGATTACGCGCATCAAGAATCAATTACAAAGTACGGCCACCAGCTTTGAGGATAAATTTCGCGATCAAAGGAATATATATAAAGTGTAAATTGAGAAGATATTGCAAACAACTTTTTTAAATAGGGTCTTTGCATGCCAGTTCTGTTTACGCTTATGCAGCAGTGATCAGTCCGAACTTCTCTGCACGTTTCTTCTTCATCTCATCGTCTGGGTTTCCTATAATCGGTTAAGATATTTCTGATTGAACCCGCAAATATATTATGACTTAAATTACTTCACCTTGAAACCGATTTCACTCTCTAGGTTAAGACCAAAATTTAAAACATAGCCAACACAGTTGGGAAAGAGACAATGAACGCAAGAAAAAAGAAAATGACTTAATCTTGAAAAATTTTCAACTTTCGAACTTAAAAAAGAAAATTATATGGCCTTAAAGCTCTTTGAAATTCACGAACCTTCATGATTGACAATTTTTCGATTCAGCACATTTGAAAAACTGGATCAATAGGTAAAGTTTTTATTCCGCTGGGAAATGTGAAAAAAAAAATACTTTCGAAACTAGAAGTTGATCACGTTTTTCGCGACCTTTACACTTTTGCTCGTCGATAGTGGAGTTTGCCTTCCTTTTAACAAATGAAATGAACTAAACTAAAAAAAGATATCAGAAAGCAAACCACGAAAAATCATATTTGAGCGTGAACAAACTTTAAAATTTTTCCAGTAACAGAAACAAAAAATCATCACGACCTATCTAACAGTATTCACTGAGTTTATCGAGTCTTAGAAAAGGAAGAATTTTTTTTATTACACATCAACTTATGAAGTCAAGTTGTTAATCCATATATATATATATATGTTAGCGGCAACCTTTTCGGTGTAGTTTCGAGGGGAAAACAAATAGTGAACAACGAAAACATCAATATTTCACCTTTACCTAGCTGAGTCTTGAAGCGTTCGGCTCTAGCTTCTTTGGCCGCCGTCTCGGCCGAAGGGTCACTGTTAGGGACACCAAACCTCTTGGCTCTCTCCGATTTCTTCTCACTGTCTTCAATTTTTGCAAGTTTCGAGTTCGTTACTTCTCCGAACCTTTCTGCTCGTCTCTTGAGTGTCTCTGGATCCACATTGACGTCATTGGCCTTAATTTCCTTCGCAGAAACGGAAGTGCTACTACTTGATAGAACGACGCCGAATCGTTCAGCTCGCTCCGCTTTCTTTAGCTCGTCATTCTTCGTTCCGAACTTTTCAGCTCTGCGTTGCAATTTTTCGGCTTCTGTCATTTCGGAAATGCTTTTGACTGCAACTGTTTCCTCTTTTGGGGTATTCTGAAAAAATTAAGCGTATTCAACAATTAAAAGGGTTGCTATTTCCTGTACACGAGATTAATTCGCCTCCAGCTTCGTTTTTTTGCACAGGCACATTGCGAATTACCCATTTTCATTACAATTTCGCCAGCCGATATGTCTAAAAGTGGGATACAGTATGACTTATGATGCAAGGCATACTAGAATTGATAAGATTATGACTTGTATCGAGAAAAGACTATGACACTACGCGAGTTAGCTGGCTCGTGTAAAGACTAATTAACCTTTTAAGCGAACAAAAGTTGAAAGCGAAATTATACAACATTTCTATTTAATTTAATAATTACGTCAATAAATCAAAATTACAATCAGTTCTCGTAAGAACAACTCAAATCTGAACAAACTTCAAATTGTCTTGATTAAAACGACATAACTACATAATATACCAACAATATAAACTTTCAAGAATACTAATATAACTTTCAAAGTGTAGTGTAATGTAGTCCACGAGTTAAAATTAAATTTTCAAGAAATTGAGCTCTCAGCTCTGCACATGAAAGGATTCCACGTGTTTTAGCTGATTCCAGTGATTTTTTAAACAAGCCCGAAAAATCTATATTCCGAGTTAATAACTTTTCTTAATCGCAAGCTTAAAATGGCCGAAACCATTCATTCATAAAGGTCAAAAAACCTTAGAAAAAAATCTAAAATTGTACACAGAGGTGAAGCTGAGCTTCGCACACTTGCTATACAAAACATGAAAGCGGCTTCAAATAAAAAAATAGAAAACTAAATCTATCAAAATGAATAGAGCGGCCCTTTTCCTTTCCCCACCTTCAAAAAAAATTATTATAATTTAAATTCCTGTTCATATTGTCCGATTGTCATAAAAATTGACATGCAGATAAATTAGGCCATGACAAACATACTTGGTCTTCATAATCAACCTTGTAAAACTACTCGTTAGACTACAAAATGGATGCTCGCGTGAGGTGGAAGAAAGGAAAAAGAGCCTATAGAGCTAGTTTCAAAATGAAAAACAAGCCAAGGCAATAGAAAGTAAAACTCAGATCGAAAAAAATTTACCAAGCGGTACCAAAGCCGAAAACACCTAAACAGAAATCACTTAATCTGAAAAAAAATCAACAAGACTTATAAAAACTTTCCCCCTCATTCTCAAAACACACATTCCTTTATTCACCCGTCGAATGAAACAATATGAGGCCACTAAACCGATATAAAACAAACCGAAACTATTAAGTCGAAAAAAAAACACAAAAAAAATTTAAAAAGTTTAAGACAAAAAAATTTTTATCAAAAAGTTTAATCAAAAAAATTTAAAAATTACTTAAAAACTATTATTAAGTCCCCCTCACCCTCAAAACACGCGCACGCACACACACACACAAACTTTATTCTCGACGACCGACACAGGTTGAGGCCACTGAGCCAAAATAATATAGGCCGAAACTTATCAAACCGAAACAATACAAAAAAAAATAATCAAAAATTTCGAGGAAACAGGTTCTGGCCAGCTTCGGAACTTCGTTGTGTCGGGCATGGACGTTATCACTAAGCTACGTTTGCCAAATATGTTGAGTTTTTTTATTGAATAACATTACTATAATAAAGGTAACACAGAGGCAAAACGGAGTTTCGCACGACTTTCAATACAAAATTGTTTGCCAATGTGAAAAACTGCAACAAAATTTTCCAAAAAAAATATTTTTTAAAATTTAACCCTTTTGATTTCTAAAAGCTTTTTGATTACATCGAAACAGCCATTCCAAATTTGCAGAAAAAAAATCCTGAAATATTATTTTTATTTTTTATAAAATTTTCATAACACTACTATGTATCATCACCTTGAATGAATTTGAATAAAATTGCACAAATCTAATTATGACGCTAAAAAACTTGAAGCTAATTGCACAAATTTTTGAAAGAAAAAGAAAATGTGCACCCAAAAATAAATTTAAAATTTTTTTCTGTTCTAAAAGAAAATTTATAGTTCGTTTGAACAAAAATCCACCAACTATATTTACGCTCTTCAAATTTGAATTCAAAAAATGTTTCAGAAGCTATTTAAAAAGTTAATAAAACAAAACATCCTGTTAATAATCCGACAATCGAATGTAGATCAAGTATCACTTACAACAGCAGTTAAACAAATTGGTTAGAAGTGGAGATACTCTTAGACTAGAGATACTACACTGGTAACTTAGTTATCTACAGGAAAAAATCTAGTACGCGATTGCAAATCTCTTGCTTATCGCAAGAGTAAAAACACAAAAAAATTTGTTCAATTTATTCGGAAAAGTATCAGTCATAAAATATTCTGTAAATTCAAATAGCTTAAATGTGATATATTTTTTCTTAGGAATTCGGATGTTAAAATATATTCTCAAAATGAGTCAATTTTTCGCCGTCGCATTAAATTAATTGACACTTTTCCAACTATCCGTTGGCTATGTTTTGATTTTCTTCAAGTTTTGATTTTATCCTCCTTTCTTATTTTATTGGTCTTGTTTGTGAAGTGCAGCTTCGCCTCTGTGTTGATACTAGCACTCGTCCAATTACTGGCATCGTAAAAATCGGTTTTTTCGGCATGACAATTGACTTCAAATTCTGACTGTGATTTTAGATGTCACCAGAAGACAACCAAATGTAATGAATACTTGAAGACTAAGAGGGAAAGCAGAAAGGGTTTCTTACTGCATCTTGCAAAACAATTTATGGAAAAACTAATATCAAGCAACGGCCAAGCCAAATTCGCTTTAGTAAATTTCATAGAAAGCATTCAAAATATCATAACTTAGGTAAAATTTCAGCAAAAACGGTTGCCAGGAGTTTACTGTAACCGTTTCGATGAGTGTTGTCAATTAAATGTTGATACTAATATTGGCTCCAATAATTTTAAAAATTTTAGATATAATTTACAGACGGCGTAGTTATTGATTAATAATTGTACCTCCATCACGCAATTTGGAAAATTTGGTGCAACTTCTTTGTTTATTCTGATATCTTTTTTTACCTGAAATAAATAGCGAAATTGAAAACAAATTTAATAGCTCACTCATGACTGTTTGAGCACTTCGAACACCCACCAAGTCCCTCTCTTATTCTCGATTCAGTAATTGCACCAAAGGCCACAGAATGAGCCCTTTAGCTCAATTCAAATTCAGAGCAGTACATTCTTTTAGTTTCATTTATCCCCTGGATTCTCAACTGCATTTCAGGACAGTTTGTGAATCGCAGATGTCATAATTAATCGAAAAAAAATATTACCTTGGCCTCTTCTAAAAAAATGTGTTGTTAACCTCGTCTAGTAGTAGAAAATTTTAGAAGTGAAGTGACATCACAACTTGATGATTTTATTATTTACTGAGGTCTGTAATGGGACAACGCCCAATAACTGGGCAATAACTACTACTATAACTAACTGTGGACAAAAAAAGCACTTAATGGCAGTTCCAATTCTTCTTTCTCAATAAAAAATCTGGCAAACCATTAACTTACCTCATCTTCGTTTGTTAATCAGAAATCATAATAAAAAACGTGGGTGCTCGTTAAGAAGTACTAGCGTGCCCAACGCAGCCAAGCTGCATCGACAAATACAGATCTTGCAGATATACTATAACATAATGCAATATAAAGTTGATAGACAGTAGTCGATGTGAATGAATAGATAAATTTTAGAGTTTCAAACAGTAAAATCCTAATTTCAAACAGAGATTGGTGAACAAGAAAAATGTCTATAGATGAAATATACGTAAAACCACCGAAAGTGAATGCAACCGTGAAAATAGACTGGGGCATCCAGCAACGCTTTCTAATTCATTACAGAAGCGAAACTGAATTTCGCACAACTTTAGATGAAACAATTTTAGGATGACTCGACCATTAGAAAAAATTAGCAAATAGAACTTCGAACTATGTTACAATTGAAGAGCGATGTAGAAAAACGAGAAAGAAAAAACAAAAAGGAATTTTCTCGTGTTTGAATTCATTTGAGTTTTTCAAAGGTCCTAGACGGGTTGAATTTGGCATTCAAAAAATTGGTGCCAGAAATTTATTGATCTCAATAGTAGTACCGCACATTTGAAAATTTAAAAAATGGAAAACGAGCCGGTAGAATCGAACTCGACATCCAATAAGCTGAAACTCAGCCGCAAATTTTCAAAAAATGTATATATGGAAAAACTTCATGTAACGCTCACATATGATCCACGATAGCTATATAAGTAGCGTATGCAAAGTAAACTTCATAATTTGGAAACTAAACCGACATAGCTTAAGGCGACAACCATGAAGCAAAAAACCATCAGTAGAAAAACGTACAATGGTTTGAAATACAGATACAGCATAAGATACAGGAAAAGTAACTAGTACCCGGTAAGTAAATTTGAATTTTTCATAAACTTGAGCATGTAAGCAGCATTGCAGCATCATAAGTGATTCAAGGAGTTTGTTAAACTAATTGTAAACCGGAAAAAAGTCTATATTCCTATTTGATAACGCTTGCTAATAGCCAGCGAAATTAAAAAAAATTGTTCCTTTCTAAAGGTTCTTTTTTAAAGTTAAATGTACAGATCTCTCAAACAACAGGTTTTCGGATCTTCGCATTAACCCTAAAATGACCGAGAGCAAAAAATCACTTTTCACTTTTCTAAAAGACTATTCACTTACAATATCACTAATTTCACCAATTAGATTTCTGTTTAATTTACTTAGTTTTTTCCATTCATCCGTACGTAAATCAATTGCTGCCATTCACGATTTAATCAGAGGGTACAAATTAAAAAGCATAAGACGTTTTTTAACATTAATTTGTTATTTAAACTTGAGCTTTGGAACATTGTGCAATTTTTTGGAAAATCTATTGAAAATTTTTCAAAAACGCAGAATTTGAAGGCTGAAAGGATCTGAGCAGTCGAATTTTGCAACCCCATCTGCAACCACTGTGAGTAGCTTAACAAAATGAAGTCAGAAAGTCAAGAACTTCAAAAAACTTTTCAATT